GTGAGTTCTTTTGTCCTCTAGTGACGTTTTTGGGTTTTGATATTACGGCGGACGGTCTCAAGATGAATGTAAAAAAGTTGGATACCATAAATCAATGGCCTTACCCTACTAATTTGAAAGAGTTACGCCGTTTTCTGGGTTTTACTAATTTTTACAGGAAATTTATTCCGGCTTTCTCTAAGGTTGCCGGTCCGTTGACATCTTTAACTAAGGGCGATCTTGGTAATCAAGTTTCGTGGCGGACTGATTCATCGGTCAGGGCGTTTGAGGAATTGAAGTCGTTGTTTGTTAAGGAACCTTTGCTTCTTCACTTTGATTTTAATAAACCACGATATGTACATGTTGACAGTTCGGGCTTTGCTATAGCAGCAGTGTTAAGTCAGCCGGATGATCAAGGTAATTTATTGCCAGTGAGTTATTTTTCGAGAAAGCTTACGGATAGAGAACGTTCCTGGATGATTTTTGATTTGGAGTTACTTGCGATCGTGGAGGCTTGCGAGGAATGGAGAGCTTGGTTAATGGGAACTGAAGAACCAGTCAAGATGTTTTCTGATCATTCCAATTTAGTTTATTTCAAAACCGCCAAATACCTGTCCCCAAAACAAGCAAGATGGGCTTTGTTTATTGACAATTTTAATATGCTGATTTACCATGTCTCAGGTACTAAGAATCCAGCGGATGGGCCTAGCCGGCGTGAAGATTTGATAGGCGATAAGACTCGGATATCTGAAGCTAAAGCGATTGTTGATCGGATGGTTTCGGGGGTAGATTGTGATGCTATTACGGAATCTTCTACAGTAGGTTTTCATGGTATTCATGATTTATCCTTCCAGAGACCAAATCAAGCGTTATTAGATTTTTTTTCGAAACACTATGCTGAAGAAGAATTTAAAGGAAAGGATATACGACGAGTCGGGGAGCTTTGTTTCCATCGGGATAGGATATTGGTTCCGAAGTCGTTACGATTAAAGATATTGCGTATGTATCATGATGCACCGACAATGGGCCATCCAGGGGTTGCCAGGACTTTGTCAACCTTGTTGAGGACGTTCTCTTGGCCGTTGGTAACAAAATCCGTAACTGATTATGTTAAGTCTTGTGATTCTTGCCAAAGAGTAAAAGCTCGTCGACAAGCAAAGGATGGACAGTTGGTTCCACTGGTCGCGGGTCCTAAGCCATGGAGTACGATAGGAATGGATATGATTGTGAAATTGCCGGTGTCAGGAGGTTTTGATTCTATTTTGGTGGTAATTGATTTATTAAGTAAATTAACTCACTTCATCCCTTGTAAGGAAGCGTCATCTTCGGCAGTTTTAGCAGGTTTGTTCCGCAAAAACATTTTCCGACTGCACAGTCTCCCGGATCGCATAGTTTCGGATAGAGGAGCAACTTTTGTGAGCGAATTTTGGAAGTCGTTAATGACATCTTTAAGCATCCAGTCGGCATTGTCAACGGCGTATCATCCTCAAACGGATGGTCAAACGGAAAGGATGAATCAAGTTTTGGAGGATTACTTACGACATTATTGTTCTTATTATCAAGATAACTGGGATAAGTGTTTAGATATGGCGGAATTTTCGATTAATAATTTAGATTCAGCAAGTTTAAAAGTTTCCCCTTTTTTCTTTTCTTACGGTCATCATCCGAAATTCAATATTATGACTGAATCTGTGGGACGGAAGGATTTAGATGAGTTTCTTTTGGATTTGCAGCTGACACAGGAAACGGCGATGGAGTGTTTAATTCAGGCTCGCAAGCGTCAGGCATTATATTATAACGAACATAAGAAGCCGGCTCCGGTCTATAAAGAAGGTGAAGAAGTTTTGCTATTGAGGAAGTTTATTGAATCCAGGAGATTGAATTCTAAACTAGATTATCGATATATCGGTCCTTTTAAGGTGAAAGGTATGGTGGGTAAGAATGCGGTTGAGTTGGATATTGATAAAGAGTATCCAAGATTACATCCGGTTTTTAATGTGTCACTGATAGTCCGTTATATTAGTCCGAACAGTATTATAAATCGAGGTTTGGTTGAAGGTATTAAAGATAAGTATTATAGAGATGAGGAAGTTGTGGATTGGACTCTAATGAAGGCGGTTTTGGACGCGCGCTCTTTCAAGAAGGGTAAGTATGATTTTTTAGTTTCTTGGAAGAATTCTACGGTGGCAAATGATACTTGGATTGCTGAAGATCATTTCCCAAGTTCCATGAAATCATATTTAAACACATTTAGAGAACTTCATGGTGAATTGTTTGGTGGGAAGAAGAAAAAGAAGAGCAAAGCGGCGAAAAAGGCCCCGACAGAAGTCAGAGTATAAGGTGAGTCTTATTTGTAACGTTTGAAGTTTATGTTAACGAAATCTTTTATTTATCGGTAAGATTTACTGATTTATTAGCTATATACCAACTATGTTTAGATAGTTGGTTGTTATGTGAATCTTTATAATTAATTGATTTCATTATAATGAGCCTGATTTCATTATAACTTGATTCAGTTATTGTTTTTCCTTGTTATTATATATATGATCGTTGTTTCTCTTTCGTGTCTTTTCTTTTCTTTTCCTTATCGCGATTTTCTTTGTTTTATTTATCATCTTTACATCTTGATCCTCGAAATAAAGACTCTCAAATTCTTTTCCTTATAAAACCCTTTCAAGAGTTTATCTTTCTTTAGAAAGTAAACTACCCTTACTCTTTCATAATATAGACGGTTTACTCTCTTGAGTAAACTTATAGTCACTCAAGAAAAGAAAGTAGTAGGCGGGCTCTCACAAGAACCTTGTGAAAATATGGAAATGGTAAAAAGAAAGACCAGTTCCAATGTAGCATACACCCCTGAAAATCAATCTTATGTATAGGAGCTGTTTTTGTAAGCATTTGAAACAGCCTAATTAGCTCTGTTGTGAAGGGTTTTTTTGTATAGATCTGTTGTATTGATTCTTACCTCACAATTAAATTTGTTTTGTATTTTTACCTGAATAACATTTTAATTAATGGGTGTGTATTCCAAAAAATCAGTTCCCAATAACTTAGAAAATTGCCACCAAGAAAACATGTACCAAACTGGAAGCAGCCAAAAGGTGGGCTTCTCCCAATGTAGCTTGTTTTATAACTACAAAAAACACCACAGTACAAAATTCTGCACATTCACTGTGAAATGCGCACATTGAAAGCATTGGGGTTTTTTAAATTAAATGTTAAGTGAAATCTAAGGAAGAAACAAAGTTTAATAGCCCGGTTCACAATAGCCAGTCATCAGCAAAATTTTTAGCTGCAATCAGCAAATCATTGATACTTAAAAACACATCCATTTTTGAATGTGTAGCCCAGAGTCCCCCAGATTATTCCAGATCAATCCAAAAAACAAAAAAATTGCTATCAGCAACTTTTAACAAGTTAATCAGCCATTGGAACTGGCTATTGTGAACCAGGCTAATGGTTGTCTCTGAAATAAAGCTGAGAGCATTTTCTTAAGATTTTTTGCATGAATAAAAAGAATGTACTTATGTCAAGTTGCAGATGGCATAAACCAACCCTGCCCCGACACAGTGTTACTTACTTTTATTACAATTTTGAACTTGCATGGGTTTGTCAAGTTCAAAATTAAAAGAACCAAGTATTTGGTCAAGTGGTTCAATGGCTTTGATTCTTAAATGTATATTATCCAGCAGGCACCACATACATAAAGTCATACTTCAACCCATAGCTATGGGTTTAAGTATGAATATTAATGAGATTATACTACCTCTCTCACCCTTAATTCTAATTCCAGCACGATAATGAATAAGAATAAGAACAACAGTTTTGACTTGGCTGAAAAAGAGCAACATGTTAGATAAATAAAGGAGAAACAGAGAGATGTTGAGTGAAATTCCAACACATAGCAAGCCAGTATTATATTAAACATTGATGAAAAAATGGGTCTTAGCTAATCGACTCCCAAAAAGTGGAGGATCGACTCCCAAATGTCCCAGGACGTCCTGAGGACCATCTGCGGACCGTCCTGGGACGTCCAAATCCCCTATTTTTTTCCCCAAAAAGTTTGGGAGTCAATCCTCCAAAACCATTGGTTTTCTTGGGAGTCGAATATACAATAAAAATATTTCGGGGGTTTGGGAGTCAAACCTCCAAAACCCCGTGGTTGTTTGGGAGTTGGAGACCCAAATCTGACCCCAGCCCAGCCAGACCCCTGTGCAGTCGTTTGGGAGTCAGAGCTCCAAAAACGACTGCAAACAGGAGTCGGCACTCCAACGGCACCCTCAGACACAGGCACAATACTGCGCAGCCGTCAGGGAGCCAATCCTCCAAAACTGGCTGCGCAGCAGGGAATCAGCACTCCAAAAAGGACATAAATGAAAAAAAGAAAAATTCATAAGAGACCAAACAAAATGACAGAAAAGGGGAAAAAGTGCCAAAATGCACATCAAAGGAACATGAAAAAAGGAAAAGAAAAAGCCAAAAAAAAGGAAAAGAGAAAGGGGAAAAAGAAAGGGGGAAAATGGGGGCAAAAATTGCCAAAAAAAAGTACATCAAAGGGACAGGATGGATGAAAACGAATGAAAGGAAAAGCAAAAAAAGGACCATGAAAATAAGGGAAAATGAAAACTTAAGGGAGGGAAAAAAGCCCCAAAGGAGACATTAGTAGGAGATCCCACAGAGAATAATTGATCCAACAAGGATGAGACACAATGAAATTAAAAGGATGAGAAGTGATGAAATTAAACACAAAGGATGAGACATGATGAAATTAAAACCACTGATGAGAGAAAAATAGGGACAAGGGCTGACTGGTCTTTTATTAACCCACAAGGGACTATGAGGAAGTCAATCTTCAAGATAAAAAAGAACCAAATGTGATGATTCCTTTGTTGTGGTACATAGGGATTTGTTGAAAGGTCATTCAGGTCATTCGGAGAGTGTCTTTAATCTTGGCTATGCAGGATTGCATTGTCTTTAATCTTGGCTATGGCAATCATCCATAACCCATGATAAAAGACACTCTACTGAGTTCCCTTAATGACCTTTCAACAAATCCCCTATGTACCACCCTTGATGATTTCCTCCCTCCTGTGTAAATCCTAGTTACTATGACACCCTCTCCTCGGCCTGGCCCTGTTGCTTGGATGTTGGCTATGTCTGCTTGGAGTTCAATAAAGATGCCATCAGCAGATTTGTGGTCCACTTCAAGGGCCTTACTGGCCTTGAGGGATTGGGCATCCAGGAGGTCCTTGGTACGGGATTCTGACTCGAGGATGAGGTCCTTGGTACCGGATTCTGACTTCAGGATGAGGTCCTTGACTTGACCCTCAGAAAGCTCTGGGGTGACTACATATTAACATAAGCCTGCTGAGGATCCCCAATCAGAAAGCCATTTGGCCAGCCTCAAAGGACATGGTGGCATCAAGCAAACGATCATGACCCAGATCCCACAACTGTTCAAAGCTAGGAAACAAAGACTTCAAGTCAGGCGTAATAGCTATCAAATCACCTTCAATTCGGCCAAGAGATGGAATCAGATGAGAATCTAGAACTCTCAGAACCAATGCCATTGCGTTCGGGAGCTTGTCGACTGAGAATTGCAAATCCAATCTTGAACATACCTAATCCTCATCAATGATCGACCTGCTTCATGGGGTGTTTTCAGGATCCGGGCAAGATACTCAAGAGGCCCAACGATCCATCCGGGGGCCTGGTGTAACCGCTTTATTAATCCTTTTGAACTGCGTCCATCCACAAGTAGTAGTTCCTTCCGAATCGCTTCAGCTGTCTTCCTCAACAGCAGTCTTCCTAATTTCACCAGCGTGATCGCGAACCTAGCTACTTCATCAACCATCGATCCATCTCCTCCGGCCTCACTCTCCTCGGGATCGGTCTCGATACTATGGCTCGGATCGGCTTGTCCGGTCGATTGGATCATCCAACGGATATCTGTCACACTCGTCAACAGCTCTAGAACCTTATCAAATGACTCGGCTCCCAATAGATAGTCTTGATGGATGATAGCCCAGTCTGATTGTCGTGACCATCCGATCGTCTGATCGATCTGATGTTGGGCATAAGCTGTCGTAAACCGAATCACTTCCCTCGAACTGGACGCCTCCTTCCAAGTCCAAGAATCTTGTTCGGAAAGACTCGAGATGATCCAGCATCGGAGGAAGGTGTCATGAGACTCAAAAACAAGTTGTCATAGATTGTCGCTCCAATCAAACTCTCGATCTTCTCTCGTAGATATGAACATCGAAACATCTTCAGCTTCTTCGATCCCTGATCATGATTCTTGTCCGGTAGAGGTGATTTTGGGGCTGAGGGAGAGGATAGACGAGACAGTGCTCTCTAAAGTCTGATCGAGGCTGGATAAGATCTCCAGAGTCAAGTCGATGTCCGGCTCTGGATTCTTATCGGAATCTATCAAGTCCAACGAGCCTAACAGCGAGCCGAGCTGATCGCTGATCGAAGGTAAAAGGTTTGATTGCAGCTCGTTCAATATCTGCGCATTCCCGCCCATCTCCTCAACCGTTAGATTTCGATCCTTTGCGGCTGAGGTGATGCGATCGGGCGGAAAACTATGCTTATGAGTTAGCCCCTCCAAGACACGAATGACGGCGGCTGTTGTTGGCGGTACATCGATCCAAATGAGTGCTTGATCAGTGATCAGGAGTAGGGTACATTATATGCTGGTAGTTTTGATGTAACATCGGAGCAACCACTCACGAATCTTGGCTACCTTTTCGACTGTCTGCGGGGCTTTCCTGACTGAATCCGAGACCATCGTTATTGGTTTGCTTGTAGTGGATCTCGCCAGGCACTTGAGAGGTAAACAAAGAGAATGTGATAGGCATCAGGCAGCTGAACCCTCGCATCCAATCCACACTGCCGAGGGCGAGCGTGATCAAATCGAAATGTGGGGGGAGGGGGTCTTCACGGCTCATCTCTTGGCCCCCTCCCAGCCCGCTCCCTCCCACAACTCCAGCCAGGACAGCTTGAACTCTTTTGACGCCAACAGGAAAGTGTCATCCGATTCTCATTCCGGCTTCCATGACCAGCTGGTACTGAGTCCTACATGTGGATAGAGATACAAACCAGTCTAACGGCCTTTTTAGAATAATCATGAAGTACCGATACTGGTGTGAACAATGCCCTCAGTACTTCAAAACCACCCTGGAGAGGCAGATCCACTTCAGAAACACCCACCAGCAGACAACCGACCTCCAGCTGTACGACAGCTCCATATTCCCTCTCCAGAGACAGCCTGATCGACTGTTCCACTGCCCAGTCAATGGCTGTCCCTTTGAAACTCAGAAACCCTTGGCCCTCCATGCCCATGCCCGAGTTTGCTTGAGAAAACTCAGGGGCATGACCACCAATATCTCTCGGAAACTCGTCCCCTGCGGATCTCAAGTATTCGGTATGCCTGCATCATTAAATCTTTTCAATTGACTTTGCCTTCCCTGAAACAAAGAAAGAACCAATGGTTCCCCCACTCTGTCTCTATAGCTATCGACGCGATACCTGGGCTCAAACTGGCTTGGAATAAGTACGCTCGCATCCTGATTTGCAAGGACTGCCACGTTGGGATCCCGTTCGAGGATCTCCCAGTCCACGCGAAACGACACGGTGTCGTAGATCTCAAGGAGGCCGATGTTGAGGCGCTTATCGATTACCTTGATCAGGATCTCAAGGTCGATACACCGGTTCTCTTTCCCAACCTTCCGCGTGGCTACGACCTCCAACAACCCGGCGAGCCCGTCCAAGGCCTATTTGTTCGTCACGGGCTAACTTGTGACCGCGATGGATTTGCCTGCATTAATCAGCAATCGATGAAGGACCACTGTGATGCGATACACAGTGATTGTGAGCTTATTTTCTGCTCTCAACAATTTGGAAAAAGAAAGACAGAAAGAATAGCGGCTGAATTTTGTTCTGTCCACCTTCCAGATGTTAGACGTGGATGGCCGGTTAGTACCAGTAAAATCTTTTGTCAAACTCTCTCGAGTGGCAAGCATGCCGTTTACTTTGGCGTAAGGTACCGACATCAGCCTTCTGGTTCACTGGCGGGTTATCAAGACATCACATCCGATGAATCCGAGCAGAGATCTGAAGAAGAGAATCAAGCCTCAGCTATTCCACCAGAAACTGCCCAAGCCAATCCATCTAACCGGCCACCCGGTGATAAGACTCCTCGATCTAAGCTACAACCTAGTAATGAACCAGCAGACACCCGCCGATTTCCGGCACCCTCTCAGCCAGATGCTCCAGTTCATAAGACTACTACTAGTATCTCACTCGCCAAGTCTACCGGCATTCTTGCCCACATCGAATCTTACACGGAAAAAAGAATCAATAAACATCTGGCTTTTGTGAAATTAGTCACCAATCGATTCCAGCCCGCTTTCCAACCTCTTATCCAGAAGTGGCTGGAAAATCGCACCCAGAAACTCGGAAGCTTGTCTTTAACATTAAGAAGAGCAGTGCTCTCGGCATCCACGTAAGTTGATGATACATCTTCTGTGTGTATACATAGCCGACTGACTTCAGAATAAATCGCAGTCAAATCGAATCCTGTGAAGTCTTAGATCCACTTGAGGGGGAGTCTTCCGTTGCAAAATACTCGACGACCTTGACCCAGTTGCTGCTCTTTGCGGGAAGATGTCGCAAACAGCATGTTGTTGGGAATGAGAACCCAGAACAAGTTGCTCATGCGGAACTTGTTGCTATCTTCCTCAACACATACCGCTCTGCACGATCTCCGACTGAGGCTCTCTTCAAATCGATCGACAAACTCGTCATCGGCTTTATCCTGTTCTCCAACCAATTCCATCGTCCCCAAGTCCAATCTCCTCTCGAGGAGTTCATCGCGCTTTCGTTTTACAAAGGCAGTCATGACGGTTACGATTCGGCACTCAAATTCGTCAATACACTCACCAAGATCCAATATTGTATCCAGATTGCCATGGTTTTCTCTTTCTGTACCGAGGCATCGATCTTCGAAACATATCTCAAGAGCAAATCCTTGAACCCTTCCCAATCACAAATGAAAGAATCCTTGAAAAAACACCGGCTTAGATTCTTTCGACCGTTGCACAATAACGATTTCAACTCTCCCTTTATCACCCTTCGGGATTGGAAGCAACTCGGTTTGAATGCACTCGAGGAAGCTAGAAAATAACCGATAGTCCATAAATCCTTCTATTCGTTTCTCTACATGATTCCTATCGGTGGCTCTTGAAAATATCGTTGTTATGTACCAAAAAAAATCTGCACAGAATTGATCTGTGTCTCTCTATTTATAAGCTGTTGATTGATAGGTAGTGAGACCTCCTTTTCACTGTTTAAAGTGGCATTAGGGGAGAAAAACAGCTTGTCTTGTTCCCACCACAGTCTCATGAACCAATTCTTTTCCATCTCCTAACAGCCAGCTAAGTAAGAAGGGATCTCATGAGTTTTACAATCTGTAACTTTAAGCCAACATGTGATTGTGGAGAAACAGCCTGTTCTATTCCGAAAACAGCTCTCATCAGCTCATAGTTTGCATCTCCTGACAATCAAACTAAATGACAAGGCGTCTAGCTAGTTTGATGAAGTGTGAGCTAATTACATGTACCATTGCAAAAGTTTGATTGGTCTACATGGTGCTACCTGGTTGGCCAGTAGGAGAGTACTCTGGTAGACCATGCTATATTTCTCCTGGTACAATCTTCAGTTGACATCATGATCCAAGGCAGAAAGTGGCATTATTTGGCTACTATGTAATATAAACAACTTTGTATTCATCTAGTAAAATATAATCAAGACAACAACAGTCCATACAACCAAGACATGTCATTTTTTTCATGTGGAGTACAAGAGCAGTAGACAGGTTTTGCAACAACAAAGGGTGGGAGCAGCAAGCATATTGGGAGTCATTTAGGCTAATGCAAAAATGATGTGGTAACTGTATTGATAAAATTTGCTGATAATGACTAGCTCTCATACTCCAATTGCGATCCGTTCAAACTCAAAGGACAAGACCACACCCATCAAATTAGCACTAGCCTTGTCCCATAAGTTTCGAAGAGTAGGAAACAAGGACTCGAAGTGAGGCTTGTCTGAATCACCCTTGTCTTCGTCCAGAAAAGGAAGCAGATAGGAATCTAGAACGGCTAGGCAAGAATTCATCGCTTCCGTCAAATTGAGAACTGATCTTTGAATGTTAGGTTGATTTTCAACATTGATCGCTCGATTTCTGAGTTGAAGAATCCCCAAGAGCTGGCCAAGGTCTTCAAGAGGCACAATAATCAATTTATAGACTTTGCGTAGCTGCTCTAAAGCCTCTGAGTTGACCTCCGTGTTGATCCGAAATACTAGATTCTTCGAAATCCATTCCAAGGTCCTCTTTACCAAGATCCTTCCTAATTTGAGGAGCGGTATGGTTGATTTAGCCAGTTGAGCCAGTAGTTCTATCGCAGCGTTTTCGTTGTTGAGATTGTTAGTAGTAGTCGGATCATCTTCGGGTATCGATCGACTTGCGGGGTTGATTGCCCTGGTGAAGAGCTCAAGGATGATATCAAAAAGATCGGATGACAGTAGCCAAGCTTCCTGGATCATGGCCCAGTCAAACTTGCGGGCCCAATTGATCGTCTTCTTGATTGTACGTTGGGCGTCAGTCACAATCATGTGAATCTCTTCCCTGGTTCTGGACACCTCATTCCAAACCCCATGGTGTTGGGTGCAAACGGTTGACAGTGCGCTGAATTCGACGAAGCTCGCGCAGGTTGGGAAGAGCCTGTTGCTGATGATGTCTACGATCAAAGCCTCCACTTTGTTTCGTAGATGAGAGCATCTATAGATCTTCAAGTTCTTCAAGCCGTGATCGTGTTTCTCGTCTGGTAGAGGCGAATTGAGAGTGAGGAAGACGATTGAAGATACCACACTCTGTAAAGTCTGATCAAGCACTGATAAGATTTCCAGGGTTGAAACATAGTCAGGCTCTGGGCTCTTGTCGAGATCGATTAGGTCGAGTGAGGATAATAGAGAGTTGAGTTGGTCATTGATTGAAGGAAGCAGGTCTGATAGCAATTCCTCCAAGATCTTGGCTTTCTCGTTCATGTCTTGGGCGGTTAGATTTTGATCCGGGACGGCTGGTGCTATATGATCGGGTGAAAAGTTGTATGAGTGAGTCATGCCATTCAGGGCGCTAACGACGGCGGCTGTTGATAGATATAGGCAGGCACCAAAGTGTGGGTTTCATCAGTCGAGTAAGTGAATATACGGCAGTTGGTCGAGAAAAGAAACTGTGGATTGAAGTGGACTGACGACTCTTTGATGCCTTACGGACCCTTGCAAGTGTTTCTCTCCAATCGGATTCCGGCATCGTCCTCTTCTTCCAGCTCTGGCCTGATCCCGGGTCGGCGACACAAGAAAACTTGTTTGTTTTTTTTGTTTGTGTGCGAGATCAGGATGCCGATCGGCTGGACCCCGAGAAAAGAGCTCGGGGGCTTCCTCCCCGGGCGGCGGGCAAAGCCACTACTAAACCACAAGCTGTCTCCGTCCCTCCGGAGTCTCGCACGCCGGCCAGCCGAGCCTGAAGATACATATTATACTTGCTTGAGCTTCCTCATGGCTCACTTCACGGGTGGGCCCAGCAAAAGGAAGTGGTGTGCATACAAACCCCATCGAGCCTTCGACCAATTTTTTTGTGAGTTGGATAGTGTACTCCAATATTTCAATCACGACCACCGACGATGTCCTACAGATGGTGGCGGCTAGAATACGGGTGCCGTCAGTGTCCCGAGGATTTCGAGACTCAGTCCGCCAGGAAGACTCATGTCCGAAACCTGCACCAGCGCCGGGTCAAGTGCACGCTCTATGACAAGTCAATCGTCACCCTCGAAAGGGGAGACGATCGGCACTTCAGCTGTCCGACCGTCGGCTGTCTCTTCAAGTCCACCAAGCCCCGGGCCGTCCATGTGCACACCAAACGATGCTTCCTCAAACTCGGCTGGCCGTACGAAACGAATGTTGCCCCAAAGCTGATCGCCATCGATCAACAGATCACTGGTAGAGCACTTCTCCTTTGCTCAGAAAAGCCTTGACAAGTAGTTCTGACGCTCCCCTCTTCACATCCTCATCTCCCAGTCGTAGACGCGTTGATCGAATATGGCCTCATGTGGAACAAGCATGCCAAAATGATCATTTGCTTCACCTGCCGTACCGGCTTGAATCTATCGAACGTCCCAGGCCACATGCAAGCATTGCATGACAAACAAGTCAACGAACGCACCATCAAGGAGGCTCTGAAGAAGGTCTGCCATGACACACCACCGCCTATTCCCAGTTATCCTACAGGCTATACAGCTCAGAAGCTCCTCAGGGAACCCATCGAAGGTCTGGTTCTTCATCATGGGGTAAGGTGCGCGAGATGTGGATTTATTTGTAGGAAGGATCGCGCAATGGCACTACACTTTTCCTATGAGCATCATGGTCAGCTTCTTTGTTTTTTTTTTCTTCTTCTTCAACTCCACAGAAATAAATACATAGATACTGATTTGATCCGACTCTCAACAGACTACCTCGCGGAACATCAGTCCGATTGGAAATCCAGTACCAGCAAAATTTACTGCCAAACACTCCAGACGAATCGGCCGAGATATTTTGGTATCAAGTACAAACATAGTCCACTGGAACAGGTTGATTTGTTCCGGCGTAACTTCGAATTCATTGCAGAATCTGCAAACAGAAGTCCGTATACTTAATCTCTTTGATTTTTACCTTTCAAGATTAACTGGGTCAGGCAGCCTGATTATAAAATGATATCATGTTATAGGGTACGACATGTTGGTGAAATGGCCCCCAAGGGAACACGATCTAATTTCCCCGGATATTCGATACACCAGGACATTCCGCCACCTGTCTTCGGATCCTGCTGTGGTTCCCCATTTAACATCCAGAAATCTTCCGATTGAATGTTAGTCTTTCTTTTGTGCAACTATATCACGTTCCAACTATCTCCCATTCTGATCGAAAAAAAAAAAAAACTGCCTATCAAAACACTTCAGCCAACCGAAGCCAGCAATTTGCAGAACTCTTTAATATCCTGGAGGCCGATTCTACAGCAGCAGACTCTGAATCCGAAGAGGAGGACTCTTTCTTACCCACCCCAACAGAAACTACACAAGTGATCCCACCTGATAAATCAAAAGAACAATGCGACCAAATAGAAGTCGACTCTCCTGTACCCCAGCAATCCCGCCCAGAAATTGCTGCTCGAAAGTCTGCATCTAGAGCTATTCCACTTGACCAGTCTACAGGCATACCCGATCACATCGAATGGTGCAAGAAACTCATCGACGACAAGCAGCTGGCGAGGATTAATACAACGGTCGATGAACGACACTACCGATGGCAACCTGTCTTGCAACGATGGCTAGAAGACCGCATGAAAAAGCTCAATACCTTAACCCTATCACTGAGAAAAGCAGCACTCTCAGTATCTAAAGAGTACATACACTTTTATATCTAAGCATCAGTCATCATCCTTGTATACAACAACTGACTTGAAATAACTAACATACAGGAAAATTGAAGAATCTGAGGCATTAGATCCGCTCCCAGAGGGATCTTCGGCTGTCGAATACGCTGCTACCTTAGCCAAGCTCTTAGTCTTTACCCTCTTATGGAGTCAAGACGAAGTTGCCAAGTGTTGGAACCCAAGCCAAGCGCCACTGATGGATCTCCTCTCCGAGTTCTTCCGCACGGCCCAGACCTACGATACTTCCATCGAGATTCTCTTCAAATCGATCGACCGGCTCGTCATCCAATTTGTTTCATTTTCCAATCAGATCGACCTTCCGCCCGTCCTATCAGCTCTCGAACAATTCGTTGCGCTCTCCTTCTACAAAGGTGCTCGATCATGCAATCCCAATCTCCACTTGACCACCCTGATCTCTCAGCTCCAATACTCTATCCAACTGGCCATGGTCTTCCGCTACTCCACCGTCAAATCGTTCACAGAGTGCTATCTTGGCCAAACTTCTACTCTTTCTTCATTGCAAATCCAAGAGTGCTTGAAACGACATCAGATCGAATTATTCCAACCCTTGCATGATCATACGTACAACTCACCTTTCCTTACTCTGCGTCATTGGAAGCAATGGGGCTTGAATGCCACCTAGGCAATTTTTTTAAAAAAAAAGTTAACAGTCCATAAACGCAGACGTTAATGTTATTATTATTATTATTTATTTGGTTACCATCGTTCTTGAAAATAGCACTATCCCAAATAATCTTTGTTTTTGCTCTCCTCTCAAAATAGTAACCCCTTCACTGGCGGGGTGGGTTACGGGTTCTCCTTGAACTCGCTCAGGTGGTATCAAGAAAGAAACAATTTAGTCTTCCAGAAAATATGTAATTCAATCCTCTGCAGGGTGTAGAACTGACCAAGCTTCAATCTAATATTGGTTTTGTACTGGAGAGGTGACCAAACAACAACAGAAAAAAAAAATGCAAATTAAGACGCATTCAAGCATGGCAACAGAAGGTTACAAATCTTGATAAGTTGATGGAACTACAAGTTGAATCTTTCAATGCATCTACCGCAGACATGTTGGGGCTTTTTGTTGGGAGGGGAGAGTAGGAGTACAACAATGGGAAAGATCAACCAAACGGCAGATGAATGGGTAACTCAGCACGTCTGGATGATGACGATGGGAGTTGATTGATATTAACGAAACAAAAAGGATCAAATCTATTTTGCGAAGATATTGCGAGTGATGATAATGACGATGAAATTAAGAAAGAAGCGGAAAAACTTTGCAACTTATTTATGGGAAGGAAGCGATCCGAACGTATTGAAGAAATCTATATCGAGAAGCTTAAGTCTATCGTTGAAAGTGACCAGACATCGGATTACTACTAAAATCCACATGACAATCTGTTTTTTGACATAACGAGTGTTGTCAACAATCAACCAAAAAAAAAGGAAACCTCAGAAGCAAGGATAGGCGTAACTTACAAGCTCGTGAAATCCCATCAAGCGACTCAAGGGCATATTGTACCGATTCACCGACATCGTGAGCAACAGGCTAAGAAAAAAAAATCCACACAGATGGGAGAGTCAGGTCCAGTCAAACTAACACAATATCACAAATAGCATATATTCCAGAGACTCACCAGTGGGGTTTCGGGTGAGAGAATCACATCTCTAAAAAAAATGGGTATTCAGGGCAACAAAAAGATTCAACCAAAAGGAGAATCAAACTAAACAAACTCAAAAGAAAAAGAAATATTTAACTGACGTCTCAACAATCAAGTCATCGCCAGCCTGATAGACATGGCAGTGCTGGACAGCCTGGATCAAAGGCGAGAAGCGGGTGACCAAATAGGCTACTCGTTGGTGCTGGATTGGGTCGGCTCGGCGACCAGTCAGATTCTTGACATTGTCAAATAACGTCCCCGTCCATTCGGTAATGACTATATTTTTAAACGCACTTGAATCAATGATTTGCTATCTTTGCAGCTTTGAGGAAAAGGAATTTACTGTATAGTGATAGGATTAATCCGCCAACCGCATCCAGCCAAGGCAGATTGAATTTGAGGCCAATGTAAGGAAACAGAAGTGAGAAGATGTTTAAGATACTGGAGAGATGCAGAGACGAGCACAGCAGTTTGCAATGAGTAACCCGAAAAATAGGGGGGGAAGAATGACTCTGCAGGGGGAATATTAAACTAACCAATCGTTTTCAGCATCTTGAGCCAACGCCTTGACACTAGTATTTTTCTTCCTACGACACCAGAGCCATACGACGCCTTTGACGAGGATGGTGACCCACATGACGATCATCGAGGTGAAGGGGATGCTGATCCCGGCGTTTGATCCGGCAAACAGTCGCTCGATCGATTCCACTAAGACTTGGACAAATGAGGAGATCATGAACACCGAGAATACCACTACGCCCATTGGCTCCATCCGTCTACAACAAAAACCATCCGAGGAAAAAAAAATGAAAATTGGTTGAGGATCTTTCAATGTCACACACACATATAACTTCACAATAATTGGCATCCATGGAGCCTAGTTCAGAAAGATTACACTACCTTTTTCCGGCAGGGTACTGCCAAATGGATTGCCAACTTTTGCTATCGATTTTACGATCTGCGAACGCGGTATGAACAGTATGAGAACGCGTGTCTTTTTTTGTGCCCCCTTGAAAAATAAATCTACTGAACTTGTCCACCAGATGATAGCAGTTGATAGGAAGTCCATGGCGCTATCGACCAAGGAGGCAATTAAGGAGATCGAGTTCGAGAGTAAAGCTACAACGATCTTTCCAGCCAGCAGAAGGAAATTGATCTAGTGTGATTGAAGCCAAAAGAAGATCAAGAGGTCAGTCGGGAATAGGAGAGTCTAGAAAATGTACTAGAAAGTCCAGCTCACAAAGAAGTTGATACTAATCGTCCGTCTAACGCTGAGACTCTCTTTGCGTTCGCGATCCAATTTATGAGCACATTCCACCGGTTCACCGGGCCGTTGCTCGTGATCCAATAGCGGATCAGCTTCCAGATCATGAGGCTCGATCAATCCTTCGCTCCTCCTCCGCTCTGGAGTCACTCCGGCACTCGACCTTCGACGCGAACTGTCGAGAACCGAATCTATCTCTTGGAAATAATCCAGAATCTCGTTCTGCCGCTCGTAGAATTGCCTAGCCTTACTCGACTGTATTTCCGTCACAACATGTGAGTGAATATTTGGTTGGTTGTTGATGGATAGGCAATTGATACTCAACCAGTTGTTTGAGTTCCTCGGCAGATTTCCTATATTTCTCATACTCCCCGCCCTGATCATTAACTGAAAATCGACCGTCAGCAGAGTGCAATGAATTTGAATTAATAGGATGAGTGTGCTCACCTAATCCGGCCAGATGATACGCGTTTGTGAGATGGAAGTTGGAGTGAGAGATGAGCGGTGGTTGAGTGGATGGAGTTTGGGGGAGTAGTTCTCCTGCTGGACTGCTATGATGCTTGAGTATCTGGGGTAGTGGGTGTCGTAGGAGTGCTGTCCGTTCGTTGATTGGTTTGCCGGCAGTCATCTCCGCTTCTTTCTATTTTCTTTTTGTTCTGTCGAGTTCTCGGTGCGTTCCTTGTTGTTGTTGAAGGGAACTGTTTCTTTGTGCTCTTCAACTTGAAAGTTTAAAGAGAGCAACATTGTGCCCACTGACTGGACACCCCTCCTGCTGACTCAGCCTATTCCGTACACCCCCTTGTCCCCATTCACTCAACACACTCAACACCCCCATTCATCCAAACCCCTTGGAATGGATGGACCCTTCATCACTGCACACATCCCACGGCAACTCAACCACTTCCCAATCAAGAA